AAAGGTACGTACTATGTCATAGCGATTAATTTGTCCATTAAAAATAACGCTATCACAAGAAAAGTTACGCAATGTGATAATTTGTAAAATAGAGTTTTACACATTTCTGTTTTGTTTCGTAATTTTTTTTTATCCACAACGATGAAGACTCTTGAACTTTATATTTACAGCTGTGATATCAATATACGTAGTATACTTATTGAACCGACTCTACTTTTACTCTAAAGAGCACTATGGTAATTAGGTAGGTGCGTAAGTAAGTCTTTCATGGTAATGAATTTATTTACCCTCTATTTTGCTTACGAAGCACGCGTTGACACGACAACGACATTTTTTAACTTATCTAAAAAATGTTGTACAAAAAAGGGATCAGACTGAACCATCCATCATTAAGTAAAAAATCCAAAAATATCAATTCTATCGCTACCTGTTTTTATCTCTATCAGTTGGATATGTTATTACAACGAAAAAACGTCTGTCAACTTGAACAAATTATTTTAAATCTATATTTTTTTAAAAAATTTGACAAGAACAACAAGAAAAGTTTTTAGGACAGACCATCGAAAAAAAAATTTAAATAAAAAAAAATATTGACTTCAGTAAGGTGCTTTTATAGTGAACCACGGCTAGCCTTGCTTGTAAAATGATAAGTATTATACAACAACAAAATTAAAAAGAAAATTTTATCAATATTTCATAAAAATAATTATACACCTTACTAATAACATTAATCTAATACTCGTATTACACACTTGGTAAAACTAACAAAAACTCTCAAAACTCATTTATTTTTGCAAATTAGGCTTTTAAAAAGCACTTTTACACGTCCCAGTATTAACCCTATCACTGCTTCGGGACAAGAAATGAAGAGTGCTGAGAAGAAGCAGCGCAAGAAACCACCCGTATTCACAAACGGTACTTACCTATGCAAAGCAGCAACGCTATGCGAAATGAGACATTTCTCAATGCGTTCCATATGACAAGCCTTTCAATTCATAAACAATACTTAAACGACCCTTGACTATGCAAAATTAGAGTGTTGAATAGAGTTCTGTGATTGGTTCGCTTATGTTACGCACTTCACTTCGCTAACTGACATGACATTCCTGTCATTCAAACGGTGCAACGGTTTTTATGTGTCGTTATTTTGTGGATTTGTGAATTAAATAAATATGGATAAAACTACAACTACCAGGTTAGTATGAATACTTCGATTAATAATAATAGTGAAAATCATGTTTCAATCATTATTTTTCAGATAAAAAAGCTGCCGTTTTCTTCTTCCGAAAGAGAGCTGCTGATTGTAGCTTAATAAGAGAAAGGCCTATTATTGAAGACAAGCATATTATTATCCTCTCTAAAATATCGAGTTGACGAAGCAGGCCTGGGAAACTCTAACAGTGGCGTACAATTCTGAACCATATTTTATGTTTCACAAAGGCTCACACACATCAACTGAAAAGCTGCTGGAATAATTTAAAGACCCAAAGAATGAAAGAACTTTCTCAGGAATCAATCAAACGTTCTCAACACCCACTAGTAAGTAATGTTTTTAAAATATATAGTACGTAGATTTATGAGGAATAACTAAGCAGAATATACTCAAAGTAATTAAATTCATAATTTGCTTTCCAGGTATCAAGAAATGAAGATTAGTAGTATAGCAAGAATGAAGATTAAGACAGAAACAAGAATCAAACGCACCACATTGAATAATATACAACAAGACCAGGCTTTGCACGAGTTGGGGCTACAAAGAGAAAAAATATTGATAGAAAGAGAAAATAATTTGTTAGAACATGAAAAAAAGATTTATGATTTACAAAACATAAAATTAAATCAGACATTGAAGATTGATGAAAATAAAACTTCATTAAAAATTTTATGTTTTATTTGCCACTAGCAACTGATACATTATGTAGGTGGCACTGGAAGGCCTCCTCGCAGTTAATTTCCTCAAGTCTTCTTTTATCAGTGGTAAAAGTATGAAAAGTACCCCTGAATTGTAATAATCAAAGGGATTTTGGGAATCCCGTATCACTTTTCTGGTACTTACTCTACTTTGCTCATTGATATAATTATCAAATTCTTCTTCACTACTGTAATCCATTGTAAGATAATATTAATCGAATACAACCATAAATAAAGCAAACAAACCTCAAAAACGAGAATAACCTAAAAAATTTGACGTAAATAGACACTATGCGTTGCGTAATACAGCTCCCTGGCTACCTTAGCTTTGCGTTCATTCTAAGGGACGCATAGTGCTTGTCACCACTGAAGTATCGTCTATAAATAGGTTTTTGGGACCCTGTGCATCCACGCGCACTATGAGGCCTCAAAGTAATGTTTGTGAATACGGGTGTGTCACTATTCGTTTGTCTTAAAATCCAAAACCTCTTCGTAAATTACATTAATTACTTATTCTGAGAACCTTTGACAAGCTTTAGAACACTTCACACCTCCTCTAACATTAATCTTACTTTTTTGTAAACAAATAATTATTTTTGGATGATTTCTAAGAAAACTGTTGTCACCGACATTTGGTTGTGAATAAACTCCAGAAAGTTAAGGATCTATATGCGTAGAAATAAGGTAGATATTTGCTTGAAGTGTAATCATAGGCCTGTCCATACCCACACATGATCTGTCACCCTTAAAACGGCGAAGTCCTCGGCATAAATACAAAATTATGTGCATGGGAACCGAGTCCCTTCTATTCGATCGACTAAATACAATAAACATATTTTTATACCTTTAGAATGCGTTTTTTTCTTTATTAAAGTTATTACGATGTTACAAAATCCTATAACATAAATTTTGTAATAAAATTAATCCCGTTCTATCACAAAGTAGTCAAAAGTCGTTAGTTAGTTAGTCGTCGTTCGCCTTTCAGAGATATTAAAAATGAACTTTGTTGTCCAAGTAAATAGTAGGTTTTTTACATATTAACATGTTACAATTTTAAATTGTCACTTGAGTTGCTTGTTTTGGATCCAACATTAAAATTGCAAGTAGGTATTCTTTTTGATCATTTAATTTTGTTGCACCGTTTTGACCTTATCGATGTCCTGTGGCTCATAAATTGACATTGACATCAGGGTTGTGACCCTGAGGTGAACTTGATAAAAAAGCTGTTTTCCAACCCTCACCAGAGAAGATCAAAACTTAAGTGAAAAAAATAAATAAAATGTAGGTATTGCAAAGATGTGGGGCAACAAATGGCGTGGCACAAATGCAGGAACAATAGTAAAAATATTCCATTGTAAGAGAAATTGTTCTAATAAAAGAACGAATGTTAGGAGTGACGTCATAATGGAAAAAGTCATAACCACAGTTGAAATCGACTTTATAAAGTCAAATAAATAATACCTACTTGCTTAAAAAAACTGCAGCCTAAGTCGTTTTTCAGCCAATCCATGGGTGAAAACATTTATGAAAAATCATCTACATAAATGCAAGTTAAGTACTGCTGTGGTCTGCCATATTTATAATTTATCACTGACCTGAATGTGTCATTATTTATTAGGTACGTGACTCAAATCGCTACTGATGAGGGGATTTCTGACTGTGAGCAAATGTATTTTATTAATTAAATTACTTAATTATTACAAATGTTTTAACATAATATTAATATTCAATTTTCTAAACCTGAATACTGTAATGATGCAACTGTTTTTGTGTCATGAGTGCCTTTTCCTGTCATGCGGATTTAATTTTAGGCACGTGTGCGGATATAATATGCATTTAATTATAATTATTTCATACTTACATGTTTTTTTAACGCGGATTGGCTGCGGGTACACAGTACGAAATCTTTGTCCTGCGTGCAACCAGCAGGGCCCAGGGGGGCGCAGTGTGAGTTAATGTTAATATCAAACGGCGCAGCGCGTAAAAGAAAGACATTAACACCCGTATTCACAAACGATACTTGCTTAAGTGAAGCAGCAAATCTAACGCACAGTGTTGAATAGAGCTTTGCGATTGGTTCGTGTGTCACCCTGTGCGTGGACGCACACTGTGAGACCTCATAGTAATGAATCATTACCAATGATTGTGATTACAGCGCCCTTAGCGGAAACTTTGAAGAACTAATAGTAAGTAGGTATATTCATTTTTTTAAACGCGCTCACTACTTAATGAGGACGTTTGATGTAAACTGTTACTCACACTATGAAGGTCGTAAGCCCTCTGCCCAATTTTACAAAAATTGTATGTAAAATTCGCATAATACCTATTTTGTTTAACTTAGCTATCTGTGATGATTTGTCTTTAATGGTAGTGGTATCAATTTGCTACTACCCACCAATGTAGTATGAACGAGTTTTAGATAATATTATGTTAGGTTATTAGGTAGGTACCTATGTGATAAAAATACTACGAGGGAGGGGTTAGTAATAATTTAAGCTATGTTAAAAAACGTTTTTCTAAAGAAAGTAGACATAGCCAATATAAATCATAATTTGGGCTAATGAATTGAAAATGAAAATTTATTATTTTATTTAATACACCAAACTCGCACGCACAACTTTCGAAATTTTACATTTGAATTTTTTTAAATTCTTTTTTTACCTACTAAAATTAACTAAATTTTAAACTTGGTATTACTAGAAATGGTGAGAAAATATCAATGGAAACTATTCAAACTATTGAATTTCTATCGCATTTAAACAACGAGCAAAGAATTCGAGTTCTCGCTACTTTTTGTAGTGTACCGCCATCTTGCGGTGAGTAGCCATGTTTGTTTACCATCGTTGCTTATTTAAACGGACTGTCCCTAGATGTCGTTTAATACGTAACATTCAACAGTAGCACAGTAATAATAGTAGACAAATAGAAATTAAAAAAAAATATATTTTCAATAAGAAATGGTAAATTGGGTGTTCAATTTTATAGGCCCTGTGTTATTTTTGTTTTATTTTTAAATAGAATTTATGAATATTTATCGATGCTCGAAAAACTGCTATTGGTAATTTGGTAGTGAGCATCACTTTCTCTTTGATTTGTCTATGGTTAGAAAAATTGAAGAGGAGGGATTTTTCATTTTAAATTCAAATCTGCATAATCACCACGCGGTTGTTACGAGTTGGTATTTCATAAAAGTAATTTGGTGATCTTAAAAAATATTACTACAACGAATTTTGTTTTAGGCAACAGTTTTAACGAAAACAAGTGAATTATTAATAATAACAATAAAATTCTGAGTACTACAAACATGAGTGGTTTTACGGTTAAGTTTACGGTAACCCAATGTGATCCAAAAAACTATGGAGTAAGTATTTATTTAAGACTCAAATCCTTTAATAACGTTTGTTTTTTGTAATGCAAGCATAACTATTACTACTTATCGTGATTGTGTCTTGATTATGAGTAATTAGCTAACTACCCTACAGAAAAAAACGTATTCTGAACGAATTTTGTTCTGTTTTATTTTTGATACCTAATAATTATGTAGGTAAATATTTCTTAAAGTAAAATTCTACTTATAATCATTATTATTCTCCACTGTGGGTTACTTACCCATCCTAAATATGTTCTTAAAAGTTTTAATAACATTTTTTCCTATATTTTTTTAGACAAAGTTGCTGAGAGTGATGGGGGATTGGCAACTGGAAAGCAAAGACGTTAAAACAAGAATAAAGAATTTGTACTATGCTGATACCTGGAGAGATTGTCTTTTTTTATTTGATGATAGCGAGCGATCGGTGGTAGCTCACAAACTGGTGCTCGCTGTAGCCTCGCCGGTGTTTGCCGCCATGTTCTTTAGCGGACCAGAAACTATTAAACCTATGAAAATAACTGACGTACAGCGTGATACTTTTTTTGAAATGATAAAGTAAGTATTGAACAGTAAGTGTTTTACTTACCTTTATTAATTTGTCCGCCATAATAAAATATAGAATACCCATTACCAAAATATATACATTATACATAAGTATGTCGGGCCCTATTGCGATTAATCTAGCTAAACTAACTTTTATTCTTCTTATATTATGTATAGGTACTAACTAATATTATTAGGTCTTCACCTATGAAATAAGCGTTTTGTATAGAGAATTTTACGAAAATTCATTTTACCATACTAACTTATTTCGAATTTTTAAAGAACCACAAATTCAAATTTTATAGGGTAGAATAAAACAACATTTAGCTATTATAATAATGTAATAGGAAAGGCTAAGATTTTTTTTAAATTGGTATCTGTAAAAAAAAGTATTTTTATAACGGAAGCGGACGCCACATAGGACGAGCTCTCTTTGAAGATTAATTTCTAATCTAATTAATAGTAAAAGTAAGCTAACCTTAAAATGAAATTTCAAATAAAAAATTATGATGAATATAGCTAAGTGTACCTATGTTAGAGAAAAAAACGCTAATTTCATTTTTGCATGCTTCAGTTGTTGCATAACATCATTTTAATTATATTATAATTTATTGTGCTATTATAAACACTTTTTTTCCTTTTACTCTGTTCTGCTGGTCGTAATGTTTCAGATTTTTTTTATAAATGATTCAACAATTTGTAAAATTATTTCAGGTACATATACACTGACACTATAGACCCGAAGTCATTTTGCGATGCCAGTGATCTATATGACGCGGCTAAAAAATACAAGTTGGTACAGCTACAAAAACTGTGCATACAATATATTTTGCGTGAATTAAATCCAGAAGATTGTTGTTCTGCATATGAATTTGCTGTGAAGTATGATGAAAAAGAATTGTTGAAAGCGACCGAAAATGTGAGTAACTTATTTATTTGATTTGATAGTTGGAAGTGTTAAACCCTAATCTATCTGGGTCATTCCACAAAAATATGTCAACTCTTAGTCCGCGCCACATTTCACATGAAATATTTGTTAATATTTTATTCCAAAATTGTTAAATAACAGCTCGCAATGTGCTTTATTCATCACCCATTTATATTTTTTGAAACTATTTTTAAAACATCTTAAATTACTTTTGAATGACCTAAAACGTCATTCCCTAGGCATGTCCGTACTCCAAAAGTTTGTGTTTTGGGACCCACATTTATAAAAACATCAACTTTATCCTTTGTTTTAATTAACGAATAATCTATTTAAATGTATATTACACCCAATTCTATTAATATTTTGCGGTTTCAATAAACAATAATTTGATTTTCTTTAGTTGAAAAAGAGTCTACAGCTTTTAGCGTCATTCCCTCGCCACGCACTGATTTTATAATTTTGCGCTTTAATATGTATTTAGAGTGAATGACATTTAGTTGAGTTTAAAGTACGATACGAAGTTATCCTCAGACCATACTGGCTTTGCGGCAGCCGTTTTTTGAATTAATGCAAACGTGCCAGTTGTTGCGGAAACATGTGTTAATCCAGTCACTTCGTCAGTCCCTAGTTGAGTAGCTTTATTGATTACAATAGGAAATTGTATATAATTTAATAGTATTTACGTGTGGTTTTTTGGCTATTTTCGGCACATCGTATTAAACATCTTATAATATAAAGTTAATCTGCATTTGTGTTAAGTTTTACTCCAAATCGTCAGTCCCTAGAGCGTCAGGCCCTAGCTTTAAACGGCACTTGGGACTAAATTACTAGTTAGGGAATGATGTTTTTTATATAGTGATAATAACAAAACAACTACATTATGTATATTAACTTATCTATAAATGTTAAGGTTATAATTATGTTTTATACTTTATTAGAAGTCATATAGGAGTAATGTAGTATGAAAAAATTGAAAATTATAATTTCTCCTAAAATAAAGCATAAAGTGACTGGCCCTTTTAGACATAACATAATTAATTAATAAACTATAATTTACACTAATAAAGTATTCAAAAGCATCTTAAAAAAGTTACGGACAAAATGACGTTGAAAATATACAGATTTTTATGGAATGACCCATCTAAGTTTTGTAATAAATTTATTCTTATTCTTAATCTTTGCTTTTTCTTTTGTAGTTTATAAAGACTAGAACTACGGAAGTGTTAAAGAGCATTGACTTTCTAGGTGCATCGCTAAGCACTGTCCAGTATATTTATTCTTTGGATACCTTTGCTATTAAAAGCGAATTGGAATTATATGTAGCTCTTCAGAAATTTGCCGTGACCATCGGTTATTACGACTCAGAGCCAAGTGGTGAAAACAAACAGATTAGCGAAACAACTCAGAAAGTGAGTATAAATGCATTGAACGGGTGTAAAAATAAATATTCATTACTGCAACGAGAGAACCTCATTCTGCAATTGAGTTTAAGTAACCACCATTACTTAGTGTCAAGTTTTAAGTAATCACATCATGTCTAATTCTTCCAATAAATATTCTATCTGAGAAATTACGAGTATGTAGATAGTTTCTCTATAAAACACTCGCTTAGTGAGATCTATTGGTTAACTTGACGAAAAAAATTTATTGCTCGACTTTTTGTTTGTCTTTTATTTTCTTGTAAATTGACATCCTAATTGGTAACTCATAAATATTTTTATTCAATACAGGATAATCAAGTTGAAGAAATTAAGCAAGAAACAAAAGAAAATATAAATGACGCGGATGCATTTCAAGGTTAGTAAGCATAACTTGTACATAAATAGTGTAAATAGTGAGATTATTGAAGAATAGCATGAATATAGAAAGTTTTACATCGTAGTGGATTGAATAATATCTATTCCTCAGGTAACTGAGGTTATTTAAACAATAACAAACAATAATAAACAGCAAATTGGTTGGAATCAACTTTTGCCATTAACATTATCAAATCGATGACTGTGATAGATATTCCAAAAATTATTAAAATCTAGCCATTCACAGATTAGAGTCGAGTTTAATGCCTTTTTCATGATGTAGGTAGGTAAGCCTTAAAACCGAATAAGTTACTAATACCTGTGCTAATACTTCGTTTTAAATCTAACTAAATAATATCATTTTTATTTACAGATTGTGTTGATATTAAATCAACCTCAGAAAAAAGTAATCCACCAAAAATGGAAAATCTAAAAGATAAGTCTACAATCGAAAAGGATGGCAAAATAGAAAAAGTCGTTTCAGGTAATGCTTAGATTAATAGCACCTAGAGGGCAGGGGTAGTGTGTAGTCTTCATACAAGCGATTCGTGCGCGTGCGCATACGAGCGCTAAAGTGAGAAAAAAATCCTAATAATGTAATCCAATGTCATCTTATATACGTTTTCACTAGTGTTTGTCTTTATCAACTATCAGAATGTACCTACAAGGAACTTAGCCATTTTGAGTGCCTCAATATTCATGCGCTTATTCTAGGCTTTATTAATTTAGGTTAGGTATGAGATAAATAAAGAACTTGGTCTATTTTTTTCGAACCATCAAATACCTTCCATACCTAGAGTTTATGGTTTTTACCTCAGATCATAGAAAGAGAATAGATATGAAGTCGCGCGTAACTACAACGAGAACCAGTGTCCCCACATTTCCCCCACCACAGCTCCCACACACACATTCAACTGTGTAAAAACAAAGCGACTGAGAGTCTACGACAACATGTGCAACCGGCTTAAAAGTGCTGTGATTGGCCAGAAGGCGTGCCTTATGGCCAATCNATAATTATTATTTCTAAATATTACGATTTTCCATTAAAGAAGAATAACAGTGCTGTTGGAACAATAAACCTTGATTTCAACGATGATCGACCGAGCGTGTATAGAAATACGCGTGTGCTCACAGGCGCGTCACGGCGCGTGGCGGTCCTGACTGATTTGCAACTTGAAGTTGTCGCGCGCTGTAGGTAATTATCTCGGCCGGCATAGGCGAGTGACGGAGGCCTGATAAGTGCCACTTGTGGTCTAAACTGAATAAATATTTTTGATTTTGATTTTGATTTTTGATTTTACGACGCATTATCCAACAATATCGGAGAACATTTCCTCAGTACGACTGAATCGCGACTAACCTGGCGTCGCGGGCGATGTTCGTTTCTGGGCATATCGCGGAGACACGCGCCACGCCCCCGTTTCACATCTATTCCCTTCTATGATCTGAGGTTTTTACTAATACAGTGTGAGTCACGTTAAAGTGTACATATGAAAATAGATGAAACTAGACCTATTTTTATCGACAAAAAAGAGGTCAAAAATTTTTTGAGATTTTTTTTTAATTTTTTATAGATTTTTTTTTCTTCCATTTACTTATTGTAAAGAAAACGTAATAACTTTTAAATTAAGCAGTATATCCTGATAAAATAAAAACAGTAATAATGCTAAATAACAGGCAATACTGAAAAAATACATAAAATACCCAGAAAATGCCAACAAATAATAAAAAATTATACTTATTGAAAAAAATCTGCTTAAAAATTCGTATTTTTTTGGTTATTTGATAAATTTCTCAAAAGAATGCCCCTATAACAGGTAGTTTTTATTACTTTGTATTATTCTCTATCGTATTATCTTTGTAAAACCAAAAATCGCATGTCTCTATCCCTATCACAACATTTGCTATGATCGTTTGAACAAAGGCCTGCCACAACATTATTCTCCGCTACAGGTAGAGACAATTTTAATTTTAACTAAAATGTTTATTTTACTTCGAAATCTTCTGTTTTTATTTGAAACCTAACTTGTCTTTATCAAAATTACAAATCTAGAGCCATTTTCAGTTTCGTTCTTAACGAAGCGTTGAATGGCGCGCCCGGAGAGTCTTAGTTCAAACGATCATTGCAAACGTTGTGATAGGGACAGAGACATCCGATTTTTGGTTTTACGAAGGTAATACGATAGAAAATAATACAAAATAATAAAAACTACCGGTTATAGGGGCATTTTTTGGAGAAATTTATCAAATAACCAAAAAAACACGAATTTTTAAGCAGATTTTTTTCAAAAAGTATCATTTTTTATTATTTGTTGGCCTTTTTTGTGTATTTTATGTATTTTTTTAGTATCGCCTGTTATTTAGCATTATTACTATTTTTATATTAGGATATACCGCTTAGTTTAAAAGTTATTACGTTTTCTTTACAATAAGTAATTGGAAGAAAAAAAAATCTATAAAAAAATTAAAAAAAAATCTCAAAAAAATTTTGACCTCTTTTTTGTCGATAAAAATAGGTCTAGTTTCATCTATTTTCATATGTACACTTTAACGTGACTCACACTGTATAAAAAAAGTTTTAATGTCATTTTTTGCTATTTTTTTCACCAGAATTCAAATCGGCGCGGGTAATCATTCGCGAAATTCTAAAAACCATTCGTTTTTTAACGATACCTGCTGAAGAATTTGCAAAAATATCCGCCACGCCGCCACTGCTCACTCAGTCGGAAATTATTGCTATACTACTCAACATAGTAAACCGGCCCAAAGCAAAATTACCTATGCCAGAAGGGTTCTCGATTGCGTTAGATAAAAGAATTGCGGTGAGTACAACCAATTAATACTAAACTTGGTATTAACTTTTCTAGAGCCACTAACCGTGACAAATGCGACGTGTATTGCCCTTCTAAAAAGTGTATAAAAACTAGCGCTTCCTCACGCCTCTTATTTGAACTGAACTGCTTCTTCTAGAAGAACTTTAGTTTCATCTATCACCTCTTTGATTTTCATGTGCGCTAGATACAGTCGTTCGTTACAGCCAAATGACGCCCACTGCTGGACAAACGCCTCCCCCAAGGATTTCCATAACGACCGGTAATGCGCAGGTGTTGAACTCATAAAATATTCTATTCCAGAAATTTCCAATAATACACTTACACGAGCATAACGGTGACACTGGATTTGCTTTAATGTTTACTCTCCGTACTTCTATTTCCAATAAAAAAGTGTTTCGATATCTTTCATCTTACACTGAAGCATTATTACGTTTTGTTAAGAATCATTTATTATTTTTTCAGCGCCAAGTAAATGACTCAAGGAAAAATATCAAGTTCCGATTTACTGTACCAGATTGTGACTATCTGAAGGAAGGCGACGAGATACATTTTCCTCAAGTGTATGGCTTACAATGCTCTTGGAAATTAACAATTAAAATAAAGAGTGAAAATACATACCATTTGCTCTTAAGTGGTTCAGGCGTAGCTAAATATAATGCCGATGTTAGATTCGGAATAATGTTAAAAAACACAACTAAAATATTGTATGATTTTTACTCTGAAAAAGCAGAACAACGGTAAGTTCTATTTCTTTTTTGCAAATATTTTACTTTAACTTTAACAAAGGTCAAACTCCGGTAATTACTGGCGGTAATCAAACTAAATAAACACTGAGACAAGTAATGAAGCTATAATATGAAATGAAAATAATTTATGGTCTGATGTTGTTAGGCACCTGCGTGTAGTCAGAGTCAAATTAGTTTGTGACACCCAAAGTGGCCAAAAAATTGACAACACAACCTTATTCCAATTGTCGCAGACGTACTGCGATCTTTTTCTACTTTAGATGTCACGAACTATTTAACGCTGATTGTAGTATTTTTATGTGCCTATGTAATCAGTATTTTCACCAGTATTTTGTTTTAACAGGGCAATTGAATCCGGTTCCCTTATTGCCGAACTTGATGATTGGAAAACAGTGAAGAATGTTTGCCTAGATGATGGCAGCTTGACTTTTCACTTGACATTCAATATCAAAGATGGCATTAATGATACTGATGAAGATGATGAGGAATCGGACGATTCAGATGATTCGTTTAGTTTTCATTCATAAGCATGATAAGGATTGTGATGAATTAATATTGTAATTGTAATAATATAAATAATGTAATAATATTGTAATAAATTAATTTCAATTTCATTATGCGTAATAAAGTTTGTTATTAAACTAATTATGAAATAATGTTCTTGCGTTTCTTACGGTTTCTAATGAAACCGTTACTTTAGCTATGTCCTATTTTATTGCATAAATGGTAGGTACATTATATTGGTCTACTCAGTAGACTCTACTGTGATCAGTGACCAAGCTAAGACAGTTTGTGCTTATTATTACCTCCATCTACATAGGTACCTAACAACCTCATTATTTTCATAAAAAGGTAGATGGATAGGTATTTCTCGTTCATTATAGATATGTTACGGTCAAAGTGATAAATGTGAAAATTATGAATAATCGCCTGTTATTATGAATAATTACCGCATGATTTGGTAAATGTGATTAATATGAGGTCATTTATGTGTGTATAAAACTAAATAGGCGGCTTGGGGGTGGCCCAAGGGCCCCCCCCCGCCGCACCTTAANATTATATTAATATATGATATCAAAACGTTCAAAAGTTTGGCTGTACACGAGCACGTACACAAGATGTTGTTCTCTTTTAAGAAATTTGTTAGTACTAAGCTTGAATTATTAAATAATCACTGTTAAATGTGATTCATTTATCACTTTTACCGCGACTGTCGGTAATTATTCATAATAACCGGTTATTATTAATAATTTTCAATTTATCACATTAACCGTAACAGATATACTGACGCTCCCCCACAAAGAGAACATACAAAATACTTTTTTGCTTTTATGTGAGGTATATTATAAATTATGATGGTACCTATATTGGTGTAAAACATTATTTTATGTATAACAATGACCCAAGATTCGATTTTGGTGATTACATCACTAACGAGTAGGTATACTGCCTCACTGACTGATATTGATTTTGTGCCTTAAACCGATAGAAATACCAAGCCAAAATTTTACTAAACAGTCATTTAATCGGACTACTTACCTACCTGAGTTAAAAATCAATCCTAGTAAGTCATCTGTCTACATCACAAGTTTTTAATGTTAATATATTTGTAGGTAGGTAGGTATGTTGTTAGGTTCGTATCCTACCTACCCTTTAAAAACAAAACTGAACGTAACAGGATCTGTGGGTCTAGACAAAGTGCAAATTATAATCGCAAACCAGTCGAAAAGTGGTCGAAAAGCCCATTTTTTCATTTTTTGTATGAAGTTTTGACGGATTCGATTTTCGATTCGTTAAAAAAGTGCGTTTTGTCTAGGGGGGCTGAATTTAGCTGCATAAATTGTTTACGCAAACATTTTTATTTGTTATTATTTTCCCTGGTGTTGACACAACTAAAAAAACATACCTAGATAGATCCGGATATTTACGGTGGCCCATTAATCATATGAATAAATAGAGTAGTGGCGCTAAGTAGTAAGAAGTACTCAATACTCAATACTCAATTCTTTATTGCATCCATAATGTTACAGAGGTGGTATGTATGGTTTTATAAGATACAATTATGGACCCTGTCGGGCACAGCATTCTAAGAGAGAAGTAGAATAAGTAGTACTACTCGCCGCCAGATGGCTCTGCTTTTACAGTGCCACCTATGAATAAAAGTTGTAACTACTAGGCGCGAACACCATTAGTTAGTGTGTGAATGTAGAGCGCAGAGTAGATGGCGTTGTATTTTTTTTGTTGAATAGTATTTAATTTCATGAAACCATTTTCTTTCGCAATTTTTCGCTGAGTATCTTTACTTTTCTTTGTCAATCAATTAATAAAGTCTAAGTCTAAGCAGTGATTTTTTCATTTTCAATTTTTTTTTATATAATAAATGTATCTATTACTTATTTTTTTAATACTATTGCTTTAATTTAATAAATAAATAATTTTAGTGTTGAAAAAATCAATAAAAATGTATTTTAGAGCCGACTAGTAACCAATACTTTATTTTGAAAACTCACTTATCAGCTGCGGTGTCCGAGTGGTTAAGGAGATGGACTTGAAATCCATTGGGTTCTACCCGCACAGGTTCGAATCCTGTCCGCAGCGTTCTTTTTGGTTTTTCTGAATACATTAATTGTAGTTTTATTACCCGACTGCGCCAGAAGGAGGGTTATTTGTACCAATTTATTATAGAATATTGGTATTGAATGCCACTCAAAATATGCAAAATATATTTAACTATTTCCGTTTCATTCACTGGTACCGTGATTTTTAATAGTTATTAAGATTAGTAAATTAATTAGTTATGTATTTTATGATTATGGACTTAAAATAATAAATAATGTAATTTTTACCCGAGCTAAACACATTAACACAGTACATATTACATTACACTACACTGAAACTACACAGAAATAATAATAAAACATTAAATTATTTTAACATAAGAAATTATCACATTCTACATGAGGTATAATATCAACGCAAGAATTTAGTTTATAATTAACTTTTTAAAAAAATAAAACCGACTTCAAATGCGTGAACACAAAAAAAAAACTAAAAATTAAAAATATTGCGTATAAAAAAGTTCATCCCCAATTTTCCACCCTTGGGGGTGAAATATTTTCTTCAAATTCGCATGAAACCACCCTTTTGATAATACCTATTCAACAAAAAAATAATCGTTCAAATTGATTTATAATCGGCGGAGATATTGCGTATAAAAAAGTTCATCCCCAATTTTCCACCCTTGGGGGTTGTTTTTTCTATTATTAAATTTAAATGGGACCACCCTTGAGGTATTACCTATACGCCGAAAAAAGATTTGTTCAAATCGGTTCATAATTGGCGGAGTTATCGCGTAACAAACATAGAAAAAAAAAAAAACATACGGGTCGAATTGAGAACCTCCTCCTTTTTTGAAGTCGGTTGAAAATATAGCTTTTTGACGTTGTATCGATTTGAATGACGCTTTGTGAATAAGTAAGTGAAAAATATAAAAATCTATACTCGAACAAAGATTAAAAAAGTTAAACGATATGGTTTTGCGTTAATTATTACAAGCTTTATATTGTGACTTCACTTGTTAGTATGTGTGGGACAAATCTTGCAACTGAATTTAAGACCACTTCTCCTCGACCGATTGAGCTAAAATTTGGCATACATTTATGTAAGTACGATGACAATGCAATGTTATGGTACCATTGAGCTGGTCTGATGATGGAGTCAGGAGGTGGCCATAGGAACTCCTAAACGAAACGGCGGAACCTCGTCGAGTTTGGGTTCGTTGGATTTGTCTTTTCGAGCACTTTAGTGCTAGATGATTTCCAGGGCTCTGAGATTGAGATACAACTAAAAAGTGTAAAATAAAATTATAATAAAAAAAAAACTTTTTTAAAAACAAGCTTTATTCTGAAATGCAGTTGTACTAAAACGAAAAAAATAATTGTATGCTAGGTTTAAATTAATAATTTCGAAATCTTGTAGCGCAAACAGTCAAAAAGAGGAATAAATTCCATGCGCGAGTTTTTTTTTATTATAATTTTATTTTTTTTATTTATTATGAACGCTGTAAAAATTAAGTGAAATTAATAATTATTACCTTTAATAATGCTTTTTACCGGGTTTGTAATGTTATCATTATTTGTAAATTATATTAAACTGTGACATAGACAGTAAAAAATGGAAACATTTTATGTGAAAAAAAAAAAAAGAATTTTCATAATTAAAAGTTACAAAAAATTTCCTTCGAGCCGGATTTGAACCAGCGACCTATGGATGTCTTTAAACTTTTGCCTTCTACAGTCCACCGCTCTACCAACTGAGCTATCGAAGGTTGGAAAACGAATTTGAAATTACGATACTAGTTATATGTAAAAAAAACACCTGAGAAACGAGTAAAATTACTTTTCTTTTACTCAAAATTATATATTTTTTGGTATCCTTCCGTTTGGCCAAATTACTTTTCGCCAAATTTCACTTCGCAAACAACTTATCGCCAAAGTTTCATTTCCCAAATGAACTTTTAGCAACTGTACTTTTCGCAACTAATTCATTTGGACAAATTATCATTTGGCCAAATTTTACTTGGCAAATGTTTATATAGCAAATGTTTTATTTTGCCAAATATTATATCCCAAATAATTTGTTTGGTCAAATCGACACTTCACATACTTACCCACAAATCAAACCATAAGGCAGAGGCAGATGATCATGGTTTTCACAAGAATGTTATGTAAAACAAAGAGATTGCAGAAAATAGTATGGTTGCAGAAAGTAGGTATTGCAGAAAATAGTAGGTTAGGTTAGGTTAGAACAGTGACCCTTAACGCGCGAAGGCGAGCGAAGCGTGCCGCGGCAGCGGCCGCCGAGCGCTAGAATCACCTCTATTGTTAATGAATCATTTGGGAATTTCGATAAAAAGAATGAAATATGAAAAATTTATATAGAACAAATTTTATATTAACTACCCACTAAACAAAATAATAACCACTTGTTAATTTGTACTCCATTCTAAGCACCAATCAAATTATTTTGTAAATAGTGTATCGTGAAATATTTTTGCCAAATGAAACATTTGCCAAAACATACTTTGCCAAACAATAATTTGCTAAACAATAATATGCCAAAAACGGCATTTGCGAATTAAAAGTTTGCTATAAGTTGTTTTGCCAAATGAGAATTTGCCAAATGAAAATTTGCAAAACGTTGTTTGCGATGTGATAATTTGGGAAACGTTTTTTGGCCAAACATTAGTAATCCATATTTTTTATTTTATTGCAGATGCAAAATAAAAATGAACCAACAACTGTAGCTGTATGATGTTGTAATAATGGATATTAGGTACATGAGTAATTAAATAACAACTAACATAAATAAAACCATGAATTATTATTATCAAGCAACCACTATCAAAGTTTTAAGATTCATCCATTAGTAATTTATCTACCAATTAGGCATTTCAAGCGCTTTTCAAACAGATAATATTAGCATAGTTAATTGCTTCATTCGTACAAAATAGTAGTAGGTAGATCACTTTCCTTTTCATTCGAACTGGGTCGTATTTAAATAGTCGATGTATTTCCATCCACGAGAGTTCAGGTTCAGGGATTCACTCACGGTTATAGTTAAAATAACTTCTGGTGAGGTGAGAGTTAAAAGTTGTGACGTCAGCGTCGTTAACGAGTTTCGATATTTCAAAACAATAACCAAAGGAAGTAATATAAGGGTTCCGTTTTTTGCCATTTGGCTACGGAACCCTAAAAAGCACATCAGACTATATTTTAGGAAGGACTCTGAAGCTGGAACGACTACTTAGGTATATCCTTCCAGCTTGTATGAATAAGCCTATGCTGAGTTTCTTATTTCTGATTTTTTTCGAGTTTTTTCATATAATTGCATTGCACTACAAGCAAACGCTTATTTTTTTGGAGATTAATACCTATTTATTTTGAGACGGGCAAAGCACGAATGATGATGACAAACTAAAATCACACCTAATGCCACAAAACAACATCGACAAAACCAAACAAAATCGTGTTACAAAATAACAAGCGTGTCACTAAAGATTCCGCAACCGTTCTCCTACGACCGATTCGTCAACGGACTTTTCGTCGACAGGACGATTCATTTATTTCCATTTCCCCAACAGAATCTTTCAACTACGGGCCTTTTGCCGACATAACTTTTTATCTACCTCACTTCTAAAGGGCATCCACTCTGTCATAGAACAAGGTTCAAGTAGTTTCAAAGCAAAATCTGTTAAGGCTTAGTCGAAATCGACCACTTTATGTTTCATTCCATACAACGAAAATGGAAAATATTTTTTTCCAGCCAAACTATTGGTTTTAGAGAAAAACGTTCGTAATATTTATTCATCAGAATAACATACCCTATCGATAGGTATTTTTTTTAAACAGAAATTGTGAAAAAAAAATCGCTGATTTAATTCCTTTTAAGTTTATTAAAATGTGTTTTTAGCAGTAATTTAAGGTTAATTTACATTATTAACGTATAAAATCTTTATATTTTTGTTAAATCTTTAAAGATATTCCAAAAAAAAGTCACTTTTACTTACTTTTTTTTAATTTTTCAGAACCTCATAACTTGTGAACGGGCAACTTTGGATGCGCGCTGATAGCGTAGGATTACAGTCAACAAGCCATAGAACAAGGCTCAAGTAGTTTCAAAGCAAGATCTGTCAAGGCTTAGTCGAAATCGACCACTTTATGTTTCATTCCATACAACGAAAATGGAAAATATTTTTTTCCAGTCAAACTATTGGTTTTAGAGAAAAACTTGTGCAGCATTTATTCATCAGAATAACGTAACCTATCGATAGGTATTTTTTTCAAATAGAAATTGTGAAAAAAATCGCTATGTCCATAAATCGCAATTTCGCTCCATAGTGCGACGCTGGTCTTCCGTGGATACTGGATACCTCAAAGAGCAAGAGGCACTGCTGTGTGACACAGCAATGAAAATACACAATATTTGGATTTGTAAAATTAGGAAAATTTTGCTGAAAACTGGGTAACGTTCAACACTTCTGACATAAATTGACGCAAAACCTACCTTTCTACCTCGAAGCCGAACATAACGTTCTGTTTACTTGCCATCTATTTTGAAAAGGTCTCAACGCGCTCATCTCCGCTCCGCACATTGACGTCATCAGGAGAGCACAGCCTCCAGTATTGTCAAACATATATTTAATTACCGTGGTGTGCAGTGCGGCACACGCAAGCAGGTTTGCAGAACGGAGCAACTGTCCAGTGGCTCGCGTGTGAATATGGCATGTCGCGTGATAGTTTTAAGGTTTATTGTCGTGGATGTGACGGGGAGCGGTTGTGCCCCGGTGGAGGCAGGGCCGGGGCTAGTTTCGGCCGATCCTGGGTCCAGAGCGCGTGCGCGAATACGCTTGGCAATGCTCGTTCGCAGCCAGTCCAGAGAAGGCGGCGCGCCGGGTTGCGCGCTCGCCCGCCGTCCGCTCGCTCCCCGAAACCGCCGCGGAACTTATCAATAAAACGCTCCCAGGAATGTCGTAAAAACGCTGTGCTAAGCCGTAACATGTCAATTTAGCCCTATTACCTTTGTAGTGTGTGAGGAACTCGTGAAATTAGCTGCCCGTAGTGTCTTCCTTTCGTAACCAGTGGGGAGTGCAATTGTTTTGTTAAGGTGAGTTGGGTCGCAGAACTTTGTATAAGGTCGGAGGTTGCCCTTGGTAAATGCCAGGTTGGGTATGTGGACTTGCTATGGCGAAATGTGGCTCGCGTGACGACCGGCGGGGAAATCATTCAGCAAATTGTATTACATTTGTCGAATCATTAAACTTATGGGTACGGCGATTTCTTCTTGAAGGTCATTGTGTAATGGGACGTTCATTAAGGGGGGAGTTAGTTATTCAAATAAGGGAATCGCGAAGACTGATTCTCTTGTAAACCTTCGCCGGTAAAACATTGGGTGACTCATGAAAAAGATCTCAAGAAATGCCGATACTTACGTAAACATAGCACTATCAAGAACCTCCTTGAAAATTTTTAGAAAAGGTGTTGACACAATGAGCTGAACTGCTCGAAATGGTAAGGTCTTGAAGAAGCCGTAGATAATCTTCCAAGTTTCATTATGGAAAGTCAATTGCTACTGTGACAGGACTGAGCATCACTTGGGGATGCGTCGACAGCCATTTGGCGCACTTCTCTTTGTTATGTTCGTAATCAGGGTGTAAGTACGGTTTATAAGAAAGAATGTTATGGAGAATCTGACAGGAAAAGTCGAAGATTTGGATGAACAGGACAACAATTCATAGGTCAAGCATAAAAATTGCAAATGTCTTTGTAAACACTATCGATCTAAACATTAGTTGAACCATCGATATATTACAGGATTCAGCAAAAAAATATATACTGAATTCTGGCCTAAAAGGTATTTCAGGCCTCCTATAAGCTAATCTAATGGTTCAGGTAAATTCAAAGTTCTTAACCAAGATTATCTAGATGGTTTTCACTTATGTGTTAAATGAAGTAACCTGGAGCCTTAAGTTCTCCAGTGGAGAGGCATATACTCGTAGCTCGGTTGGCACCTAATAGGTTGTGGTAATCAATTTCCTTGAGTTTAACAAGCTTTTAAAGCTGAGAGCTCCTAGTTATACCAATACATGAAGTAAACGAAAATAAACAAACTATGTAGGTAATGCCTATTAGATGGAGTTTCTAGTACATTCTTTAGGTGGTAGGTACTACCATTTTACCGTAAAAGAAATTATTTTAATTCAAAAGAAGGTTACATAATTAATAAAGTACGTTTGATTACATTCTAAGCCCTTGCCAAATATTTGTCTCGAAATTCTGTAAATCAAAAAGATTATAAGACACGTAAAAGCTCTTTAAGGGCAACCCAAGCTTTTTATTTAGGTACTTACTCTGGGTAATTTATATTTTGCATTATTTGTTTTTGTAGACACAAAAATACATAGGCACAAGAACATAACAGTAATTTCTGTTCTGTGGGTACCTACAAGTAGAGATGGGTTATACTAGGTAAATTTGATACTAGGTGCACCTATTCCAAGTATTTATTAATACGTGATCCAAATACCTGTTCCACTTAGTACGTAGTAATTTACCATACTTGACGCGACTAGTGCGGAGTGCGGACTAATCCACGTATTATGACTTTAAAATACAATTTTCTTTGAAAAGATACAACCGTAGTATTAATAATGCAATTTGAAATTGAATAACTTGTAGAATAGAATGTTTCTTCTATAAAAAAATAAACACTTCAAAAATCGGACGTGTGACGGCTCATGTCAAACTGAGAGTGTTCCATTTCAACATTTTTTCACATCGCTCACAAAACGCTTACAGATTAAAGAAATATCACAGATATCGCTAAATTTATCAACGTTGATGTCAAAAATAGCAAATCTCCATACATGTAAAGGAACACGCCCAAATTGACAAAGAAACACAGACAAAAAATCTTGGTGACAAAACTCCCCATGGGTCATCTACTACCAAAAATTTCTGGGAACTTTTGTCACCACCGGTATTTTAGCGGGTAACTTCTCAGAAACAGGAGTTAAATTCTATCTAATCAACACTCGAAAACTATTCCAATTTAATCTAATTATCAAATTACTATTTCAATACAAATTATGCAATTATCACGGACGCGTGACAACAAACCAAAACAATCCTGTCGGAAGAATAAAAACTGGTTTTTTACCGGCTAGTCAACAAGGAGTGAGCTGGATGAGAGAGAACAAAAATTAAAATATTCAAAACCTTACCTGTGTAGAAATAGAGTTTAAATTACGTAATACATCAAACACCTATTCCTATCTCACACCTGCCTGCGCTCAAATTTGTTTGTCAGACAGAGACGGAGTGAATCTCTACGTTCGCACATAAGCTTAGCGAGAAATACGCGGTGCACGTAATACACGACTACGGATTATGCAATAATAACCTCTATTACTTTGATGGTAGGGTCGGAAATCGTGTAATTTAAAAAATACTTAGCGAGCAATACGCGGTGCGTGTAATACACGACTACGTATTATGCAATAATAACCTCTATTACTTTGTTGGTAGGGTCGGAAATCGTGTAATTTAAAAAATACTAAGTGGATCAAGTATTTTAAAAATTGGAATAGGTGCCACTTAGTACTGTAAAATACCTAGTGTGTGGACCTGTTCTAGTAAATACGTCTCATCTCTACCTACAAGGTACACCACACTAACGGCTTGCAGTATAGGGAGATAGTTACTTGGTTGTATTCTGTACCCAAGTAAAATCTAGCTATGATTGGAAGTTTCTTCCAACATTGTGTAGTTAATGGCCTTCTGACAGAACTAAACACGGCTGAATGGAGTCGCAAATAGCGTTCGCGGGAACAGGAAACTGAATGGAAACGCACAAAGAGTAATTAAGGCGATGTCAGTCAGTCGGGACGTGGCCTCGTTACAACCACAAGAATCAAACCCAAGTTTATCGAGTAATCGAGACGATAACCTAAAAATCAGCGATCATATTAATCACAATAAAATTATGAACGTAATAAGAAACGTAGAAATAACATGGTTAGAGGGATTGGTAAAAAATTAGTCCTATTTCCAAAATTTGAACTGGTAATTTTTAAAAATAAAGTAAAATTATCTATTTTAAAGGTTGTCCAAATATTGCATACCTCTAAACTTTTTTAATTCTGAACAAAGTATGAATTTGACTGCAATCACACCATGTTAAGTAAGATGCAGTCTAGATGGTATATAAAATATGTCCTAGGGCCTAGGGCCTCAACTGTTCTTTAATGAGATTACAAATCGACACTCTTTTTTTATTTATTAGTTTTATGAGTAGTAGCTTTGTAAATATCCAAGCTGAGACTTACGTAACAAAGCACGAACCATTTAATTGAATTTAACTAAACAACAATAACTCCAACACAAAGCTCAGTTAACAAAACTATTGGATTTAGTTTAATCAAGCCGCAAACTTTACTGGTGCATGTTGTTTGTTCGCGGCGGGCATTTTGTTCGGAAAACAGTGGCCAGTTCATCGGAAAAGTTCGAAAGCAAAGGCTTTTTTATTGGAAAATCGTACTGTTACAAGAACATAACGTGCTGCAGTGTTAAGCTTGATATGCCGTCTGACATGCAGAGTGGAAAAGGATTGGCAAGAGCTGAAAAGATGAGTCAGAAGGTTTTTCCTGAAAGTAAAGCTGAAGTTTTTAAAATGTTCCTCAATATTGTTTCAATAAAATTGAGGTACCTACTGGCAATTTTTTCATATAAACTACGTTTGAAAATCGACGATAAACGGTTGTTCTTGCAGAAAATGAAATCCACGCAGATTCGACAACAAAAGTGGAAAAACTTGACACAATTTTCCTACCTATCTTTCCTCGTTAGTTACAAGATATGCATGATCGTGACTTTGCATTTAAGTACAAGCAAGAGGACACGGTGAAAAAAAAATTAAAAAAAGAATAAAGATACTAGTAACCTATAGCTTCGCGTTAGTAGCGTAATAGGTGGTGCTGGTATGGATTGAAGAAAATCGGAAAGTCTTAATTCACCAACTCATCAAAAACCTGTGCAAATATACCTACTAAGACCTAGATACCCCTCAAAGATACTATACAAAATTTATGAATGCAAGACTGGAAGTGGAATTGTAACATAGTTGCACAAAATAGATCGAACCCGGTCACTGTGACGTTCCCTCGGAGCATATTGCCCATTTGAGACAAAAAAAATATTTATTTTCTTGATCAAATAAATAAAAGCAAAAGATGAAACGGATTTTATTTTGTAGCCATTATTAAAAAGAAAAATTATAATCCATCAGTGCCGCTCTGTTTCGCATTAGTTAGCACGATATAACCCACGTTCCAGCAGTTTCAGGTAAAACGGCCATTGGCGGTTATCGGCGAGGATCAGTTGAAGTCAATAACATGGGGTATGCCAATAACCGCTGCCGTCCTACATTCGATGAATACCTAACTAACTTACCGATATGGATTTTAGATGCATGTACTGGGTACACCGAGTGTCTTTATTAAATAACTGGTATTATAAAGGTGAGTAAACGAAATTAATAAGAGCACGCGATTTTCTGGACAAGGCCACTCAATCAGCATTTGGTTTTGTTATGTCAAGTCATGTATGTTAACCTCCTTTACGTGACAATCGATTTAACCCAGTTGGTTTGTAAGACTGCAATCATGGTTAATTCATTCGAATTTTTACCCCAAGAAGAGCGTACAATTTACTTACAATTTCCTAAATATCTTTTCTGCTTTCGTTGTGATTGGTGAAACTAACTAGCCTTCTTGATAAAGTGCTTATTTACGGATTGCCAAGTGATTTACTCGTATCAGTCTATAAGAACCTGTTTATAAATAACACAAAATTCGGACACTGATGCGTGCGTGATCTTGTGGTGAGAAAGTACATACTACTTCTACAGGAATCTTATTTAATTTCGGTTTCATTGAAAGAGCACCCCTCGTGGCAACCGGTGCCGGCTCCGCTTGTTGTCCTGCTACCATCGGCTAGGGTTACCATCTGAAGGGTCCACTGTAATGATTGTAAAGGGACAATAGCGAGCAACGTCAATCACGATGCCCCATTAAGAGCTGCCAAAAACATATTCTTCCATAGATTTCGTAAGGTAATACAAGTTAATGACGTCATTATTTTGCCAACTCGATTGCCTGTAATAATTTTATATCACGTTTTATAAAATACGGATAAATTGTTCATTCGTACGTTTCAGCCAAATGACGTCTACTGCTGGACAAAGGCCCCCCCCCCAAGGATTATTATTATAATAGCATGAAATAATTATGTATCCCATACTCGGTGCACGTCTAATAATAATTTAGTACTTATGGATAAAATTGACGACTCAATAAAAAACTGAAATAATAGACAAGCCCAACTAAGTCTGTAGGTTCGGAAAAACCATGTAGGTAGGTCCGGAAAAACCCGGATGTATGGTAGCCCTACTCGTGTTTGATCGACAACCGCGACTTTTTGCGATCAATCGCTCGTAAATATCGACTAGCGAAGACAAACCGAACTCGAATACATGTTCGTTTTCGTTCGTATTGCCTTTTTTCTTTAACGCTATTACAACAAAACCTACTAAGTAATTTGTTTTACCTTTAAACATTAAAGTTTTGTCTGTTCGTGTGATTTGTGATGATGACCCAATGACATAATTTGATTGATTTTGGTGTACCAACAGAGAAAGACATTATATTCTGATGTTTACCGAAAAATAGCATAATATGATTTTAGTTTGAAAGAAAGCATAGCTAATACCTAATTGTTTCGAGGCACAGAAACAAAAAAAATGTTAACATTAATACCGAATCTGTGCGATTTTGCAAATAAGAATTCCAATATTCTGCAGTTAATCTCCACCAAACAACACAAACACGATCTCATTCCGACTAAACCTGGCAACATTACATTACGATCTATAAACGGCCTACGAAAATAACCTATAAAATGCTCCCGGGTGGTCATCAATCATCCCAGATGTCCCATAAAAATATGAGGAAGTACAGTAGTGCCATGTATGGTTTGGCTTGATGTAGCCGTTGACAAAGTCAAGTAAACTATTTCTTTCGTTCGTTCGTTCGTTTCAGCCGAAAGACGTCCACTGCTGGACAAAGGCCTCCCCCAAGGATTTCCACAAAGACCGGTCCTGCGCCGCTTGCATCCAGGTACTTCCCGCGACCTTCACCAGATCGTCGGTCCACCTAGTGGGAGGCCTGCCCACGCTACGTCTTCCAGCTCGTGGTCGCCACTCAAGAATTTCTTTATTTGGTTAGAAAACTCATACAGACTAATTTATTTTTGCAAGTAGGCTTTTAAAAAGCACTTTTACACGTCCCAGTATTAACCCTACCATTGCTTTGGGACAATAAAATGGGCCAGTGAAGAGAAGGAGCAGCGTAAGAAACTCAGTCACTATTGTCAGCCTCTTTTTCAACGGTTTACAGTCTTTAAAATATGGCAGTAAGTAAAGACTATCGAAAAATTGTACGGTTGCCCTTTAAAAGCCTTCTTTACGTGAAAAACGTTTTGCCCCACCAGCGTTTAGAGACAAACGTTTGGAAAGTGCTGAAGCTCAGTAAATAATCATGAGCTGAATTCTTCTAGTGTTTAAAAAGACGCGATGTTTCTGCCACTCATGCTGGTTGTTGATTTTAGGGTGATTGGGATACTCGACCTATTCCTTGAAAGGCGTTATACTAGAGGCCATTAGTAAGAAATTAAGTTCCAATGGACTTGATTGGTTCACTAACCATGGGTCGAAACTGGGTGGCAGAAAATTATGGTGACGGTTCTTCAAATACAAACTTCGATTTTTTAGAAAATTTTAATAGTGTATACAGAGCACAGAAATCATTTGCTTGATAATAATTGATATAACGCCATCTCACTTTCATCATACCACTGGCCAAAGAGCAAGTCTTCTGTATACATCTGCATTACGTACACTTATTAACCTATTTTTGGCAAAATTACCCAAATTATGCTCATAAATTGTCCTGTTGCTGGAAGATCAGGATAAAGGTACTATTCTTGTCAAGAGGCAGAATAACGTTGATTCAGTTGCTTATATCAATTTTGTCAATAAGATTTTGGTAGTCATCAATACAAAGACTGAATTAATTATCACAACGATTTCAAAATTAATTCCCTTTGTGAGTAAAGCACTAAATTATTATAATCATTTGTACAATCTAGTGATAAGTTAGCAGTCAGTCTTGGTTTGCAAAATTGATAAAGTACTTATGGACTTTTACCACAGCTTTTACGTATAATTTTCAATATTAGACATATTGTGAGTGTTTTGTGTCCTATATTTTTGTATCGATTAAACTACTAGAGATTATTTTTAGCAATTGTAAAAGTAAATAAATTAATTTAGTTTTTGAAATGTCTCTCTTTTGTTTCAGGTCGAAAATATGGCGGGAAGCTGAAAAGTAGCATGTAAATAATTAGGTCTATTAAAAAGCAATAATCCAATTATTAAATTTAGAAACCCCGTAGCGGTAGACTAATTAAGTGATATTAAGTACGAAATCTTCCAAGCTAGTGCGTTAAGTGTCGTTACTGCGTTCTCGAACGCTATGTCCGTGAGGTGGTTAGGTGTGTTGGGCCGGGTGTAGGTTATGATGTTAAGATGCCGCAGCGGAGTTCGCCGTCAGGGTTGATGCGCCCATTTGTGGTGTTGGCGCTGCCCGGGATGTATTTGCTGTTCAAGTATAACCAGTACCGACAGCAGCAAATGGAGACCGCGCGGCGGCGGGTGACCGAGCGGGAGCTGATGCACCTTAACACCAAGATTGTGAGTCTATGCTACTCTTAAGCTTCAACCACACCATCGCGCTCAGATCGCCATCGCCAGCGCGATAAAAGGCCGATGACAGGTCGCGCGACCTATGGGTTCGGCCAAACCAACGCGATCACAGCGCGATCAGCTGGCGTGCAGCGATGGGCGACCAGACCTAAATGCATTGTTCGTCATCGCTGCACGCCGGTTGATCGCGTTGGTTTGGCCGAATCTTATGACAGTTCACGCGACCTGCACGCGTTGCGTTGGTGTGGTTGAAGCATTACGGGACACGCTTATTAGTTTATTACACACACAATTGAGTTTGAAATTTCGAAAACTTTACTCACATGATTTACGCCACTTACACAAAAACAAGGATTAAGGCTGGGTTGCACCATCTCACTTTAACTTTAACAAACGTCAAAAATATGTCAAACTCGATACAAAAACACCGGCTATCGTTAGTTACGGTCAAAGTTAGGTGGTGCAACTCAGCCTTAGGTTATAAGGTAAACGGTTGTCGTCGTTGAAACAATAAATATCAACTGATTTACTAATTATGCTGTATTTCCTAACTATCAGCACTGTTACTTTGTGCTCACTATTAACCATCTATTAAAAACTAGGCCTATTGTTTTCATAGATCTGCTGTATAATCGTCTTCGGTGAATCCCATGATTTATCATTTATTGCTAGCATTGTTAACATATCTACCTAATCTAACGTTGTTTACAAGCGTATTTTATATTTGACGAACAAATAGTTAACGGAATTAGATTTTATTTCAGCGTAAATAAGGGCTAATCAACCTATTAATTCCATATTAGTGACGAGCCATAAAAATAGTCGGCATACTTTCAATTAGTGAACGCCTGGTACTTAACGCCACAAGTGCCACAATTTAGTAGGTAATATTGAGTAGTGCATAAGGTTCTAATGTTTTATACTGGTGATACCAGAGACTACTTTTGTATGGAGTTAATTTACTGTCGGACCACAGACGGTCGCGAGGATTTAAATCCCAAATAGTGAAACTTTCGCTTTCTAAGTTAGTAGACTAACAGTTTACAGGTGATGAAGAAACATAATGTGCTAATCCTCCTCGACAAATCAAAATCAATCCTAAGTGCATCCAACCAAATGAAAGTGAAGCGTCACATCTTTCAGCAGCTTACCTCTATCTGGCTCTAATTGATTGCTTTCATTTCATATTTGTTATCCTTTTCTAAGTTGCAATTTGCAATCTAAAAAAAACTTTTATACGCATAATAACTTCACTTCTTGAAAGTAGAAAGTTTTCCAAGAAATGATAACGGTCGAAGTATCCGCGGCCACGCCTTCTAAACAGTATGTCCTTAAGTAAGGTGAATATATTATGTTCTTGCCTTTCCAGCGAGTGAGCAGACTTTCAGACTTGGGTCAAGGTTGAAAGAATGGCGACTCATTTCGTACATAGGTACATTCAACAAATCAATATTATTTACATCAAGTAGGTACTGCAAAATTTTAATACAGAGAGCCATAAGGTTAAGTACCTTCTTAACCTTACCACAATACCTACCTGTGGATACCTATCCACAAAGATAATGTGAAATGTATGAAGAAAACCCCCTGCGTGTTAGTGTGTCAGCTTAAATTATAATCCTTTTCAACCACCGATTTTGAGTTGGCCGATAGTTGTGCCCGATTTTAAATTGTATAAAGAATCGGCCAAATCGAATCGGTGTGTGCGCACTTCCATACATGCCCATACTGATCAACTATCCGACTAAACTATCGGCCGATAAAAAATCGATGGTTTTCGCCTATGCTTACTCGTCGTGTTATATTAAACTCACCTACTAAGTTTTAGATGTACCTAAGTTGTTTTTGTTTACGAGCACTTAATTACATTTATTTTATTAACCAGCTTAACTAGAACTAAAAGTGGTCTCTGTCATATTCGTCTTAAATGCTACGATGTCCAAATCGTACTTATTTTTATTTTTATTTCTGTAATGCTTTTTTCTAACTACGAGGGAAGGTCAAGGTTTTCATAAGTCCGTATTTCAGTTTAGTTTTAACATTTAATTTAAATTTGTTTATACCAAGGGCGGTCATGCTTACCATAATAGACATAGCTACAGAAAGGTCACGCTTAGATCTGTTACCTATGTATTTAAAAGAAATACTGCAGCAACACTAATGGACAAAAGTTTAAAAGTCCGCTGACAAGACCTAGGAAGAAAAAGACTTTAAAAATAATAGCTTTATGTACTTCAAATTCTGGAAACCTCGCTGGTGTTGTTACATCATCATTCAGGTTAATTTAGATACTTATAAAAGTGAACTTTTTTCGCGACCGAGTTGCATCAGCAAATCTTTATTGAGAGTTGCCATTCGCAAAATATGCCCATTAAAACCTCCGCGTCTACCCCCAGGCCCACTATTGGGCTTTAAATCGCAATAAGAGCGAACCTGCTGCCCTTCTTTACAACGAAGCGGCCGTCAAAGGTCGGCTGTATTAGGAAAAATCATCAATCTTGTTGGGAAACATTTTTCACGCAGCCTACACCTATTAGGAAAACGTATTGATGCGTGCTAGCGTTTTGGCAAATCATTTTCTGCTTTAAACTATACACGCTATGGGCAAAAAACATTAATATGTAATAGATAAAAGAGGAGTATTGCGGTTCATATTAAAACTAATGCCAATCAGTATTTTATTGATGAAAATCTACTTACTCGAAATTAAATAATACCCGGTAAGTATACATCTTACATACATACGACGTCACATAAATCAAGGTGAGCACTGCGACACCTTGTGTAGTTGTTCTAACAATGCTAGTAGTATTCAGATTCAGTGCATACCTACCTACATTAGATTACAGTCAGTTAAGAAAGGCATTTACCATAGAAGTTCTTGGAGTGAAAAGAACATAGGTACCTACGACCTACATGATTAGCTTCAATCGCCAAGCGAAACTAAAATTGTAGGTAAAAATGATTGTTTTTCATATTATGACATGAAGAAAATTAACAAAATTACCTACCGAAACTACTTTGTCTATTAAAAATACCTGTAGAGGTATTTGTAGAAATGTTGCTTAAATTGGGAAAACCATTCGTAGTGAGCGAGTTTAAACTTAACTATCTCTATTTCAGTTTAATTACAGGTAACACCCACTTAAAAGTCTTTTTATGTAAGTCAGCAACGAAAACTTTGAATGGACATGGCGCACAATTTTTGTTGAAGATGCCAAAAAATACTACAAAAAATTAGAATGAATACTGTATTTTTACTTTTTTGATATCTTTAAAAATGACTGAAATATTCAAGCTCAAAGTGCCCTCTTCCGCTAGGAGCGATTTTCCGCGCGGATTTTGAAAATGTGACGTAGTAACATGAAAAGCTGCATGTAAGATATTATCTGTGTACAATGGTTAGAATGGTTAGTAGGGGAGCCGAAGCGGGGATTTCGGGACTTACTAAAGAGTGGCAGACTAACATACAAGGAAATACTTTGTACCTGGTTGATTACCTTTAAGTATGAATTTTTGATATAAAACGGCATTAGTTCTTATGCCTCTCACCCAAAAAATACCTCAATTAAGCCCAAATTTGAGACCGCAGCCAAACTTTGAGTGACGATGGAAACTAGCCTAGATGGAGGACACATGAAATTGAACTTCTGCTTCTTCATTGATAAAGACTTATCATTTACCATACCGACGATTTAAATAAATGCGAGTCTTGCTGCGACGCGATACAGTGGAATTCAGCTCGCACAGCACTACGTACCTACAATTTTATTCACCTACAAGTTTTGTCTCTTTCTATCGCGTGCCTCTGAACTCTTCTTACGCTGTTAGGGTTGCTGTCTAGTGAAAAAATAATTAATCTACTTATTTGTAATGAGGTACGTATGTAGGTAAGTAAAAATAACATTTCAAATATACCTAATTAGGATTAAAAAAACTTGTTCTATTACAATGTCTTCATTCATACCTACCTATTTTAACATAAGACAGATAAATTAAACATACTATTACAGAAAAATAAAGAATCCTATACTATCCTAAGAATTTTATTATTGATTACCTACATGGCCAACATACCTTTCAGCATCTTTGGGAAGCGAGAAAAAAAGATAAATCCGGTAATTTCTCTTCGAATTTAAACACCCGAACGCCGCACAATATTTCTTTCTCTTTATGTCCATTTTTAAATAATACTTCGATCATAGAATTATAATCATACTAAAACGCAAGCCAGCGTCCTGACGGGCGAGCGCGTGACACTCGACTGATATAATACCCGCCGCCGCGGCGGGGCGCTTCGCTGTAGGTAATTATCGGATGTACCGCGCGGAGTGAGCCAGGCCTGATTCTACGTACAGCGAGTGGGCATACCCATGAGTCATTACTAGCGTAACACGTGCTAGTGGACGTTGTGTGAAACCTATTTTAAATCTACTAGCATTGTCCTTCCTAGCGATATGACCTAAAATGTGCTATTTGAACTTACTGTGTTCCTTGTGATTACCACTCGGGACGACTTGAAAAGGTTTTGAAAAGTCGAATTTCTCGCAGAATTCCTAAAGTGCCCGAGCACCAATGCTTAGACCATTTATTAAGTGTTGCACGAATCTTATTCTAATTTTATCTGTAAGTTACACTACAACTTTCTGTGTAA